AAAAAAAAAAAAAAAGCACAAGTACAGTGATATCCCAGGAAAAGTCAGGTTTCCTCTGACATTTCTGCCTTCTGAGGACCCATGGATCCCCAAGGCCTCTGCCTCCAGCTCAGAGAGGCTATTGGAGCAAGTGTGCAGAAGGCGCTGGGCACCACACACCTGGACCATTTTCTGGTTGAAGTTATCAGCCTCCTCCTTCCGTAGCTGCCGCTCCTGGGAGAGCTGCTCTTGTAAGCCGCGAAGGCTGTCATGGGCCTCAGCCAGCACCAGCTGCAGCTCCTTGATCTGAGGTTGGGGTGGGAGACACAGAAACAAGACGGGAGAGAGAAGAAGAAGGTAGAAACTAAGATCTAAGGCTGGGAGTGGTAGGGGAGCAACAGTAAGTAAGCAACCTAAGCAACCAAGTTGTTTAGGTATAAATCAGGCATAAGAGCTGTCCCTACCTCCATGGGTTGACATGACCTTTAAATAAAACATTGCATATCAGATCTAGCCATTGCTATCATTTCACCTTGATCACCTCTCTTTGAAATTTATCTGAAGTAAACAACATATTGGGAAAACTAAGTTTGATTCAGATATTCACTGTCTCATTGCTTATAATTGCAAAATGTTAGAAACAACTTATGTGATAAATGATGAGAATTAAAGTGCAGTTAACCAGCCTATTCATATGTAAAAATCCATTCAACTGTACACTGAAGGATAGTGTTTTGGTTTTTATTTGAGATGAAGTCTCACTCTGTCAGCCAAGCTAGAATGTAATGGCATAATCATAGCTCAACGCAGTCTCCAACTCCTGTGCTCAAGTCATCTTTCCACCTCAACCTTCTGAGTAGCTGAGACTACTGGCATGCACCTTGCCACCATGCACCACTGTTCTTTATTGCATATATATTATTACATTATACTTCAACAGAAATTTTTTTAAAAAGACATACATTTCAATAGGAAAGCAAAGGACATGGACAAACACTAAATGTAATTAGTGGTTAACTACGTGAAGGTCTTATGATCTGGACTTTCTTCTTTATACCTTTATGCGATGCTGCTTAAGGATTCTGCTATAGTTATTTATTATTTATAACGACTATGTAATAAATCTTTAATTTTTTTTTGTTTCAGTTTATTCCCTAGGTTTGATAATAAAATCTTTAAAAAAGACAGAACTGGCTCAGTGCCCCTAGCTCAGTGGTTAGGGCACCTGCCACATACACTGAGGCAGGCGAGTTTGAACCTGACCTGGGCCTGCTAACCAACAATGACAACTGCAAGCGTGGTGCCCACAGCTCAGTAGTTAGGGAGCCAGCCACATACACTGAGGTTGGCGATTTCGAACCTGGCCTGTGCCAGTTAAACAACAATGACAACTGCAACAAAAAAATAGCCAAGCGTTGTGGCAGGTGCCGGTAGTCCCAGCTACTTGGGAGGCTGAGGCAAGAGAATTGCTTAAGCCCAAGAGTCAGAGGTTGCTGTGAGCTGTGACGCCACAGCACTCTACCAAGGGCAACATAGTGAGAGTCTGTCTCAAAAAAAGAAAAGATAGAACTACATTTTCAGGGGAAATTATGTTTTAAAAATTTGTAGCTAGGCTGGGCATGGTGGCTCACACCTGTAATCCCAGCACTTGGGAGGCTGAGGCAGGTAGATTGCCTGAGCTCATGGGTTTGAGACCAGCTTGAGCCAGAATGAGACCTCATCTCTAAAAAAAAAAAATAGCCAGGCATTGTGGCAGGTGCCTGTAGTCCCAGCTACTTGGGAGGCTGAGGCAAGGGAATCGCTTGAGCCCTTGGAGTTTGAGGTTCCTGTAACAAAGTGAGACTCTGTCTCAAAAAAAAAAAAAAGTTTGCAGCTAAATAGGCATAGTAAATCTATTCTGTCAGAGATACAGATGGTGACAAGAAAGGCACACAGGGACTTCTTGGTCAGGTTATACTTTGTTCACTGATCTAGGTACTAATTACATAGGAGTATTTAGTTTGTAAGAATAATGTGAGCTGTTTACTTATGAGTACCTTTCTGTATATGTGTTATAATTCAAGGAAATAAAATTTATGTATTTCAGGTAACAGAGGGAAATGTTTACGCTATCATATTAAACAAGGGGAAAGGGGGGCAGGGAAGTGTCAGTCTCAATTCCTGCATAAAATCTTCCCAGCCATGGCAGATGTCCCTTTGTGAAAAAAAATAAATATTTATCATATGGCTGTTAATGTGATAAATTGGCAATGGAAGGCATGCTGGCTTGAGGTATATCCTGTCTGTCTTGTATTAAAAATCCTTGCAGCGCTAAACGCTGTGTGCTCTCTGTGGCATCCTCCTCCAACCTAGTGCTCAACACAGTGCTGGGCAATTATAACTCATTAAAGAGTGGCTGGGTGAAACAACATGTGAATGCATGCAGAAAACTCTCTACAGATGAGCCTATAGACATAGGCCTATTTCTTTTTTCTCAGCAAATGAGAATTAAGTACCTCATTTTCTTCTCTTTTTGCCATGGCTTCTAGGAGGCTCAGACCCCCTCACTTAGAGAGTTTGACCCACTGGCTTCAAAGAAGTTTCTCCCCCCTACAGTTACCAGCTGGCCTTCCTGGGACCAGAGTTGTTCCCAGAGACACTCAGAAGAAAGGGGTGCTCAGGTTGGGATATAAACAGGACTTTCCCAGTCCAGGAGTTACAGGGATACCCCACTCAGTCCACAGGAGTCTGTTCCTAACTTCAGGTTCATTATGAAAAGCTGAAAAGAGGCTTAGGAGACATGGGAGAAGCTCAGACCCCCCAGAATTCCTCTCAGAGCAGAGAATCCTGACAATTCTATAGCCACCATTCACTCTTAACCTCCCATATTACAGAAAAGGAAGCAAGAGCCAGAGGGTAAGAACATGTCCAAGGTCACACAGCCACTCCAGTAGAACTAAGACTTGATATAGGCCCACTGAGTCCCAGTGATGTGTCATCCTCATCATCCACATCCTCGACCAACATGGACCAGGCCTTAAGCTAAGGTTTTTCATGTATTTAATCCTTTCAACAACCTCATAAGGGACCTTCATTTTATAGGTAAGAAAACTGAGTCAGAGAGGTGAAATGATTTATCTAAGATTTCACAGCCATTATAGAGTGGATCCACAGTTTAAACCCAAACGGCCTGACTAGAGACTGCTGCCTTCCTGCGGCATAAATTAGTATTTCTATTAAATGACAAAAATTATTAAATACCTGGTAGATTTACTATTGGAAATAAATCAATTTCTTCAGATGAGTTTATAAGTTTCCTTTAATCAGGCCATAAGAATGACACAAACTTTCTTATTTCCCTTTTTGCCCTGGCGGATGGGAAGCTTGGGACAAAATACAATGCTCAAAATCCATTATCATTACCAGTTAAGACTCTCCATGGTCATTTTGTTTGGGAGAGGCCCTGGCCCCTTTCCTCCTCCCTACCCCTCCCTGCTTGCTCAGGTCAAGACCCACCTCAGAGGCATAGGAATCATTGTCTTCAGCTCGGTAAGGCCTGAAGCTTCGGCTGGGGTCAGTCTTGGAGTCTAAGTCGCCATTGCGGAAGGGCTCTCGGATCCTGGGCTCCCATTCTGGCAGGTCCCTAAAGTCAGGTGGCTATACAGAGAGGAACAGGCAGAAGAGATCAAAGATAACCATGGGGAAGGGACTGAGGTGTGCCAGAAATAGACTCCATCCCAAGCCTCCAGGTTCTGTAAGAGACTCTAACCATCTATCACCTCTGCAACCCAAACCCAGCGCTGGCTGGGGGCCCTGCCGCCACTCAGTGAATGTCTACTGAGAAGACGTAGGTAAGTGTGAGTGAAAACACTGACTCTGTGAAGGTCTATCCTGTGCCTAAACTTTCTAAGCCAGCCCCAACTGTCCTACCACACATGTGGCACCTGCTCATTCCTCATTTGAGAAAAACCAAGAGGCAGACTCAACACAGGGCAGTCTTCTTGATTAAAAAAAGCAAGATCAAGCCGGACTAACAGGGCACAGTATCATGGTATAAATTATTGGAAAGAAAGAGCTAAACTTCTCTCTGGAAATAGAAAGATCCCTGTGTCATTGCTCTCAAGATGAAGATCAAACCTCCCCAATGCTCTCTGCAGCCCAGCCTCATGCGTGCTCTTTAATCGGTGCCTGAGACATACCATGGTCCTTCCACCTCTGATCTGAGCTGTGCCTTTGCACAGGCCATTCCTTCTGCCAAGAACTCTCTTCACCAGCCAATCCATCCCTCTGAAGGGATGAAGTTGTGTAGACTCGTGTCTTACCCTGTCTGTATGTTATGGTTCAGTAAAAATTAATTTTAAAAAAGTTATAGGGCCTGTGACTGGGACATCTTACCTGGAAGTCTGAGCCAAGGTCTTTAGCCAGAAGGATCTCCTTAGAGGGCCCCTGGGAACCCAAGGGGGACAGGGAAGAGAAGGGCTCTGGCTGCTCCTTGCCAGAGCTCCCCAGGGCTGCGTCCGCCTTCCGCACGAAAGTGTTCAGCTCCTGCTGCAGCACGCTCAGCCGCACCAGGATGGCATGGATGAGCTTGGCATCCCTGGGGCCCTCGCTGTTATCTGCACACTCATTGTCCAGACACAACCGGAGGCCAGCAGAGAAACCATTCGCATCTGCCACCAGGACGTCGATAGCCTTACTGACCAGGGCGGCCTGCTCCCTCAGTCCAGGCAGTGTCTCGGCCTCCCTGGCTCTGCAAAGCCGGGCCACATGGGGCTCGTGGGCCTCACCAAGGGGCGCGGGCACACACTGGGCGGAGTCCCCGGCCTCTGCATCAGTCTCTAGCATCGGCCGCATGCTCTGGCAGGAGGCGAGATCACAACGCTGGAGGTTGGAGAGAAGCACCCGGTTCTCATACTGCAGCTTCTTGACTTTGCCGCTGAGCTCTCCGATCTGCAGTTTCGCAGCCGCCAGCTCCTCCTGCGAGGGCTCGCTGAGCACTGAGCAGCTGTCCTCCGACAGCGCCACGTCCAGCTCGTGCTCGGAGCGGAACTTGGCCAGCTCGTTCAGCAGCAGCTTGTTCTGATCCTCAAGCTCCGCTGAGGAGCGCCGCAGCAGCTCCGCCTCCTCCTCCACGAACTGCAGGTGTCGCCGCAGCTCCGCCAAGCTCTCCCCACACTCGCTGCCACCCAGCGCAGAGAAGGCCAGGCGAGCCTCGGGCCCCCCACAGCCGCCACCGTGATCTTTCATGTCGTCCATCTCGGCCCGCAGGCCCCGGTTCTCCACCTCCAGCTCCACGATGCGGCGGCTCAGCAAGTTAGCTTCCTCCTCCACCAATTTCAAGTGCACCTTCAGCTCAGCCTCCCGCGAGTGTGGCGCGTCCGCCAGCTCCTCCGCTGACAGGGCGCTGTCCAAGTCCCCGTAGAGCGAGCGGTACTTGAGCAGTTCCTCCTTCATGCCGTCGTTCTCCTTGGCCAGCTTGGTGAGCTTCTTGCACATGAGGGCCGACTCCTCCTTGGCAAAGTGCAGCTGGCACTTCAGATCTGCACTGTCCTCCTGGGGCCGGATGGCACAGAGACAGACACAACCCAGGAATGTTAGTGCTGGGAGACTCAGCACCAGCTACAGCATCTTGGGGAACCCTGACTGTATGCTGGGATTGCAGGAATGAATCAGACACTACCCAACCCTCAAGGAATTGGGGGGTCAGAGGGGAAGCTGAGGTTGCAATAATCTTGAAATGGCAGCAAGCATGGAGTACTATGCACAGCCTGGAAGGCTGGGAGTAAGTGACATTCTGATGGTTGACTGCTGCTACCATTACTACTACAGTTTCCTCACCTGAGAAATGGGACAATAACAGTCCCTCTGACTCTACATTTTTGGACTTGATTGTCACATTGTCTGGAAAGTCAGCTTGCTGCTTGGGGAAGGGGAGGTTCTGAGTACCCAAGAACCATGGGCTCAAGGTATGGTCTGGGGCGTGGCACCTGTAGCTCTGCAACTAGTGTGCCAGCCACATACACCGGGGCTAGTGGGTTTGAACCTGGCCCGGGTCTGCCAAACAATGACAACTACAACCAAAAAATAGCTGAGCATTGTGGCGGGCACCTGTAGTCCCAGCTACTTGGGAGGCTGAGGCAAGATAATCACTTAAGCCCAAGAATTTGAGGTTGCTGTGAGCTGTGACACCAAGGCACTCAACCGTGCGTGACACAGTGAGACTCTGTCTCAAAAAAAAAAGTGTGGTTTGGGGAAGTGGGCAGCAAAGCTAAGAAAATGAATGCAGGGAGGACAGGGTAGAAGCTAGGGAGAGATGGACATTCGTGGGGACTCCTCTCCTCAGGCCACCTGGAGTCAGGCTGGAGTCTTGAGGCCAAAACCTGTTTGTGGGGGCAGCCAAGAAGTACCTGCGCAGAAGGCTTCTTCTCTGTCTTTCCCAGGGAGCGAGTTCCTCGTTTCTTCAAGGAATGCTAAAGGGAAATTTTAAAAAGTCAGAAAAGCTTACAAGGGTGACGCATATGCAGTCATGTACCGAGGGTCACACTCAGGGCTCCATACCCACCCCAGCCCAATGTCCAGGCTTTGACCTGATCCAACAGGGAGCTGGAGGGTCCCTTGAGACCACCAAGTGGGCTGCAATGGGGCACATGACAGACCCCCTAAGCGCCCAAGGTTCCTCCCCTCTCTCCCACTGCCACATTGTGATCTTGCTGGTCTGGGCCAAGACCTAAAAAGGTTTCTGTTCTTGTTTGTCTCCCTTTCATTCATCAAAGATTTCCTAAGCACCTATTATGTAAGTCAGGCAGTTAGCTGCAGAGAACACAACAGTGACCATCACGAAGTACCCAGGGTGGGTGCTGTGGTGGTTGGCCCAGATCCCCCATCAGAACTGAGACATTCATTCCCCAGCTCAGATTTCTTTTTTTTTTCTTTTGAGACAGAGCCTCAAGCTGTCCCCCTGGGTAGAGTGCTGTGGCATTACAGCTCACAGCAACCTCCAACTCCTGGGCTCAAGCGAGTCTCCTGCCTCCGCCTCCCAAGTAGCTGGGACCACAGGCGCCCGCCACAACGCCCGTCTATTTTTTGGTTGCAGCCGTCATTGTTGTTTGGCGGGTCCAGGCTGGGGATTTGAACCCGCCACCTTAGGTGTACGTGGCTGGCGCCTTAGCCGGTTGAGCTATAGGCGCCGAGCCCCCAGCTCAGATTTCAAAGCTGAGTACCCCTCGCAGCAATGGCTGCAGGCAGATGGAAGCTCCCTTGTCCAAGGGCAGGTGCTCTCCTGCACGGATGGTGTCATTTCCAAAGGGACTCATCCATAAACTTCTGCATGCAAATCTCTATTTCAGAGGGAATCCTGGCTTCCTGAAACTGACATCTACGTGTAACTTTAATTCAGAATGCACACTATTCAAATGAATATGGGGGTAACAAATCATAATTATACAGGCTTAGAAATTATCATGAGAGACTAATAGCAAATAATGATTCAAAAATCCAGAAGCAATAAGGAGGGAAAATTTGACAGATTTTACATGCAAGTTCTCTACATGGAAAAAAAATAAAAGTAAAAATATAAATGACAAACTAGGGGAAAAATGTTATGCCATTTATACCAATAAAGAGTCATATCTTAAATATATAAAAATCTTCACAAATAGAATAAAAAAGCCAACAAACTTACATAATAGGCTAAAGATATGGAAAACAGTTCACAGGAAAAGGAAGGCAAATGAATCTTAATCATATCAAAATGTTCAACCCCACTCAGACAGAAAAATGCAAATTAAAACTACACTGAGATACCATTTCCCACCTACCAGACTAGGAAAAATCCAAGTATCTGACAACGTATTGTATTGGCAAAGCTATAGAAAAACAAGAAAGTTCATAAATTGCTGGCAAGAATGAAAAACAGCACAATCCCTATGTGGGGAATTTAAAGGAATGTAAAAATAATCATTACGGAAGTTTCCCACTGTTTAAAAAAGTCATTCAATTAGATGCATGATTCCATTTGAACACTTTCTCCCATGAGAGGGGTGATTCATGGTGGTGGTGTATGAAACCACATTAGATTGCTTTTGACTTTAAGTAAGTGATTTGGATACATGCCTACCTGCAACCCCACCTCTCACACCCCATCCCTGAAGGTGAGAGCTACTGATCTGATCCAACCCCTGTTTTACTGAAACCAAGAGAGAGCGGCAAGGACTTGCTCAAGGTCTCACAGCAAATCCATAGCTAACCTAAGACAAGTCTAGGACAAGTTCTTTTTTTTTTTGAGACAGAGCCTCAAGCTGCCACCCTGGGTAGAGTGTTAGCATTACAGGTGTGAGTTACCGTGCCCGGCCCTAGGCTCAGTTCTTGGTGTTAGGGCCAAAATTATTACTACTGAGAGTCCAGTCTCACACATGGAAGAAGCAAGAAGTTTATTCAAGCATATGCTTGGGTCACTCCCAAGAGAAAAGCAGAACAGCGGGGAGTGGCCCCTAAACAAAGGCCAGGGAAACTTGTATACACTTTCTCGCAAGGTACTATGGGTTGCAACAAAATGCTGAAAAAGACAGCTGAAGAAGAAGCTAGTGTCTGGTCACTCATTGGTCACTAGGGAGTTCTTGGGGTTTCTATAGGCTAACTGCCTTTCCGTGGTTAGGGTCTTAGTTGGAATGATAGTGCGTGAACTTTTGATTGGTTGCTGCCACCTGGACTGTAGCTGTATACCTGATTCAATGTATGACCTTGGAGCTTCCTATAGTTCTTGCCACCTCCCCCCTCTCCTCTGTGTCTTCCTTCTTCCCCAGCTTTTTTATCTCCTTTTTTTATTTTGCCACTACCACTACTATTTAAAGGCACAGTAAGGAAAATAGTAATAATAATAATAATAGGTTCATAGCCGCTCCCTCTCACTTGGCATGTCTCTTGATCAAATTCCAAAGATTTGGTAGGAGAAAATCTGCCTTTAAATTCGATGAAGGTCAGAGTGCAGCTAGCACTGTGGTTCCCACTCAGGGTGCACATCAGAATTACACAGGGGAACTTAAAAAAAAAAAAATACTGGCTCGGCACCTGTGGCTCAAGTGGCTAAGGCGCCAGCCACATACACCTAAGGTGGCAGGTTTGAATCCAGCTCGGGCCCACCAAACAACAATGACAGCTGCAACAAAAAAATAGCCAAGCATTGTGGCGGGTGCCTGTGGTCCCAACTACTTGGGAGGCTGAGGCAGGAGACTCTCTTGAGCCCAGGAGTTGGAGGTTGCTGTGAGTGATGCCATAGCACTCTACCCAGGGGGATAGCTTGAGGCTCTGTCTCAAAAAAAAAAAAAAAAATACTGATGGTCTAGGGTAGGTGCCTGGCATCAGGACTTCTAAATAGCTTCCCAAGAGATACCAAAGTGCAGGTTAGGTCCGCAAAGCCAGGGAAGGGAACTCCAGATGCGCTTTCAAGTAGAGAATATCTTAAGGCCCAATCAAATCCTAAAGAGACCTTTTGAAATGCAAATGAGGCAGGAAGGCAGAGGCTGATATTTCAGACGAAGGTACCCAGGGAGCCAGCATTTGAGAAGACCTGACCTGGGAACTTTCAAAAGCTAGAAGGGAAGAGGAGGAATAGTGGTGAGTCACAAAACAAGTCCTTCCTCAAGAGCCAGGAGGTAGACAAGTAGCAGCCTGTGGAGCCCTGGACAGGGTACTCAGAGAGAAACCCCAGGTAGAATGCTGAGGTGGGGGATTAGGGCCAGACTTTCAGATCTGGGCCTACCTACCACAGGCTGAGTGGGAGGGGCTGTGGCCTTAGCTAGAAGTTGAACACTTGAGTTTATGATCCTGGGTAAACCCCCTTCCTCTCCCTGAAAATTCCACTTAATCATAGATTAGGTGACCATGGCCCCCTTAAGCACTGCAGACTCTCCAGAAGAGCAGTGGCAGAGTAGTGACTCAGGGGTCTCCACAGGTACCAAGGGGCTCCACACATCACAGACAATGAATGAGGTAATGGAGAGCCATTGAAAAGGAGTGACAGGCTCAGTGCCTGTAGCTCAGAGCTAGGGCACTGGCCACATACACTGGGGCTGGCAGGTTCGAATCCAGCCTGGCCCTGCCAAACCACAATGACAACTACAACAACAACAAAAACAGCCAGGTGTTGTGGCAGGCACCTATAGTCCCATCTACTTGGAAGGCTGAGGCAAGAGAATCACTTAAGCCCAAGAGTTTGAGGTTGAGGTTGCTGTGAGCTGTGACACCATAGCACTCTACCAAGGGCAACATAGTGAGATTCTGTCTCAAAAAAAAGAAAGAAAAGGAATGACGGACGGTGAGATTCACTGACGTGGTAACAGAAAGAAGTAACCTGCAAACCAACTACAACCCAACTGTACCCACAATTGATGAATGGATAAACCAGAAGTGGGTTATCCCCACAATGGAATGTTACTCAGCCATAGGAAGGAATGAAGTCCCAACACATTCTGCAACATGCATGAGCCTGGAGGACATCACACCAAGTGAAAGAAGCCAGTCACTAAAGACCACATATCCTAAGATTCCACTTGCATGAAATGTCCCGAATAATAAACTCCACAAAGACAGAGAGGACATTAATGGTTGCCAAGAGTTAGGAGAGGGTGGGATGGGGAGTGAAGGTCAATAGGTATCAGGTCTCTTCGGGGAAGGGGTGACAAAAATGTTCTAGAATTAGAGAGTGGTGATGACTATAAACCTCTGTGAATATACCAAAAACTACTGAGGTGGGCTTGACGCCCATAGCACAGTGGTTATGGTGCCAGCCACATGCACTGAGAGTGGCAGGTTTGAACCCAGCCCAAGCCTGCTAAACAACTGCAACAAAAAAAATAGCCAGACGTGGTAGGCACCTGTAGTCCCAGCTACTAGGTGGGCTGAGGCAAGAGAATTGCTTAAGCCCAAGAGTTTGAGGTTGCTGTGAGCTGTGACACCATGGCATTCTACCCAGGGTGACCCAGTGAGACTCTGTCTCAAAAAAAACTACTGTTGCGTACATTTTAAAAAGGGAAACTTCACAGTATGTGAATCATATCTCAATAAAACTGTTATTTAGGCTCAGTGCCCGTAGCACAGTGGTTATGATGCCAGCCACATACACCGAATTTGGCAGGTTTGAACCCAGCCAGGGCCAGCTAAACAACAATGACAACTGCAATTAAAAAATAGCTGGGCGTTGTGGTGGGTACCACTGTAGTCCCAGCTACTTGGAAGGCTGAGGCAAGAGAATCACTTAAGCCAAAGAGTTAGAGGTTGTTGTGAGCTGTGATGCCATGACACTCTACCCAGGGCAACAGAGTGAGACTCTGTCTCAAAAAATAAATAAATAAAACTGTAAAAAACTGTAACTTAAAAAAAAAAAACTGGCATGTTTCTACTGTTATAAAAATAAGCTAGTTAATATATTCATAGGGGGGAAGGAAGGTCTGAAGAAAATAGAGCAGGCTGATAA